TTTTGTGGTCCCTGCTGGCCAAATCCTGTCAGTTGCGTCTTGCAGTCTCGTCCCTGGGTGTTTTCAGCGTGCTGTTTGGCTTAGCTTCATCTGAGAAGCTAAAGGCATGTCGAGCAGGCCACATCTCCCAGTCCCACGGCCGTGTGGCCACCCCGTAGCCGCGGGGCATCCCAGGAGAATTCAACCACCCGACTGCTGCATGGCGCCCCCATGACACATGCCCCGAATCCCTTGCGCTGTTGCAGGAGTACCTCGGAATAGGTCCGATGCTCTGGATGCTCTGGACTGAGCCCCAGGGCGACCCAAGCAGCCCTTCCCTTCCTCTCTTGCTCCCTTGATGGCATGGACCTGGACCCTCCATCTCCTCCTCAAGTCTCTGCTGATCCACTTGTCTCCCTGTCCGCGTGCACGGGGCTGCCACGAACGCGCTTCCCCCTCGCCTGTGACCCCTCCTGCCGCGCACAACACGTGTCTTGGTGTGGCCGTGCAGAGCCCAGGGCGTGAGGGGCCGTGGGCAGGAAGCTGCGGGCAGCCCCCAAGGGCACCCACTGTCTCACTGCCACCGCCGCCAGCAGCTCTTGCTCACCTTCTGCTTCCCCGCTCTTGCTTCGGCTTGCTCGGTTGCTCGGCCGGTGGAGAGCCAGGGTTCCTGCCCCTCATGTCCCCCCGCACACGGCAGCTTCTCTCCTTGGCCAGTAAACGGCAGAGCAGTTTCCCCCCTCCCCGCCGTGCCCTTTGAAAAAGTCTGGCATGGAGAGCTTGGAACGTCTTTTCCAAGGCGTTTGGAATGTGCTCGAGCCTTCCCAGCAGTCTCCTTTGTCCATATTCGATTCTAGCCTCAAGGAACAACTAACTAAAAATGCACCTGATATAGACGTCTGCTCAGAAGTTATTTATTTATTTATTTATTTATTTATTAAAACATTTCTATGCCACCCCTTGCCGAAGCCTCGGGGCGGCTCACAGCACAAATAAAATACAATAAAATACAAAAATAACAATATAAAATTAACAATATAAAATAAATAACAATATAAAAGAAGAATAAAATTAAATTGTCTTCCACAGTGCTTGCTTCTGCTTTCCCTTCCTTCGTACCAGCAGAGATGTGCAATGCTTAGCGGATACGCAAAACAGCAGCAACAAAAAGGGAAACCTTTGCCCTTTGCCCAAAAAGGCCCTTTTCCCTCTCCCATTCCTCTTATTTCCCCCGAGTTGCTTGTGTGTGTACATGCAAGCACCTTTTCGACACATTGGCCTGTGCCAGAACAGTGGTGAATGCATGTTGCACGAACAGCTTGACAGCGCCCACTGGCACAGGGAAGCTGCTCTCGCTTGCATTCGGCCCAGGCAGGGAGACCTTTGCCGGGTCTCTTTTCCAAGCAGAGCAGCTAAGACCTGTTGCGCGGTTCTGTTTCAGAAGCAACGCAAAGTGCTTTTCCGCCCCCTGTTCTGGGCATTCCTCTGCCTTTGTCAGGAAGCAATAAGAAAGATCTTTCTTCCCCGCAGTCCAGTTAATAAACAGCAACAAAAAAGAAGCTTTTGCCTTTGAAAGTTCACAGAGGCTGGAGCTTGTGGCTGCAAAGTTCAGAGATTTGATTATCGTTGACCTTCTGCCTGCTGCCAAGATTTTCAGCCTCCCTCCCCGATGTTTTTGCGCGTGTGGCTGTCAGACTTCACACCATGTGCGTTTGTCAGGGGCTTGTGCTTCCTTGCCACTTCCTTCCTCCCTGATGGCGGCTTCGTGCAGCAGCTGGGAGCCTCTCCGGACTGTTAGAGATGTGCGGGAGCCCCAGAAGTGGAAGAAGGGAGGCAGCGGGGACTCTGCAGGACATGTGGAAAGCCGGGTCCCTGTCGCTGCTGCACAGGATGGGGGATTCAGAGGCACAGGGGCCCCCATGTCCTGGCTAAGGGCCACAGAAAGACCTCTCTCCCACAGATCTGTCGCTCCGGCATGTTGAGCACCTTCCCTCTCAAGAACTGCATTCAATTTCAGGGGAGCCTCTGGGGGCCACAGTCCGGTGGTGGGAAGGGCAGAAAGCAAAACAGGAGTGGCTTCAGGCAAAATAGGCCGGAATAGCAGAAATATCAGTATACTGTGGGTTTTGCAGCCAGTAACTGAGCCTTAAGAGAAGCATTTCAGTCATTCTGCCTAGGAGGAAACTTGCAAAAGTTGAGAAACCTCCACATAATTGGTGGTTAAGGAAAAGGGGGAAGTAGAGCTTAGTGTAGACCCCCGGAGGGCTGCATTGGGCGGGGGGGCGGGGGGGGACTGGGTCAAACGTAGCGTGCAGGCCTGCGATTCTGCACCTCTTCACAAATGGTCGCCACCACTTCCTGTGACAGGCAGTTCCCTCAGTTGGAGGGAAAATCCTACTGGATATCTTGCTGAAGCCGCTCTTCCGGTGGCTTTGCTTTAGGCACATGCATCCCACAGCAGCCTGCCTTGCCCTGGCCAGCAAATGCTCTCCCAGTATATATAAACCTCCCCTCCAAGGGCTGGCAGGTCAGCATCAGAGCCTGGTCCTTTGCTGGATAAGCCTTCCTTCTGAGTAAATATGCAGTAGGATCATGTCCATGGGACCAGACAGTGCCAGATTTTTATGACGGAACTGGTGTTACATTACAAACTTCCTGAAACCCCAGTTTCAGTCTAACTGCCTGCTGTTTTTGGGAATGCAGGGCTCAGCTGTGCTAAATGGGCTGGGTGGAAACAGCCAAGAAGAGTGGAGCTTTTGAAATTTGGGAGAAAAGCAGTTGTTGCTTCCCCTCTTCGCAGAAATCGATGCGCAGTTAAGGACTAGCAAGATATGCATGTTGGGCTTGCAAACATTTTGCAGCAGATTTAACTGACTTTAATAGACTTAGAATCCCGTGGACATTTAGACAGGAGGAAGGCCTACAGCTCCCGGCCCGGCCCAGTTCCCCCAGCTCCAGTCCTCCACCACCTTCTCCCAGTAAAATAAATAAATACGCCACCATGCTTTCTAGGTTAACAGACCCAGTAATATGAAGTAAACCCAGTTATGAGGGTAGAAAGCCAGCAGGGTTGTGGAGGCCATTCAGCTTTCTCTGTGTAAGAAAGTGGGACAACGAAGAATGCCAACGGGAAGAAAATTAGCATACTTGAAACATGGGGCTGAGGACAGCTTTGGGAATGCCCTGGACCTACAGAAAGATGGAACCAGTGGGACCTCTATCAAATCAAGCCAGAATGTTCCTTGGAAGCCAAAACGGACAAAGCTCTGAAGCTGTTGTGTTTCAGGCACCTTATGAGAAGGCAGAGAGAGAAGAGAGTGCTAAGGAAAATTGGAGGCCAAAGGAGAAGCCCAAATATGAGATGGATCAATTCTATGAAGGAAGCCGCAGCCCTGAGTTTACCAGAGCTGGGCAGGCATGCCAGGGACAGGAAACTTTGGGGGGGGCGCTGTGGGGGGGGGTCACTGTAAGTCGGCGAAGACTTCGATGGCACATAACTCAAGGCTGCGCCATCCTTTATGGAGCCCATCCAGCTCATTTTGGTCTCCCTTTCCTTCTGCCTTCGGCTTCCCTGGCATAATCGTCTCGCCCAGGGAGTCCGGCCTTCTCATGATGTGCCTGAAGTAGGACGGCCACCGTGTCGCCCGTTTTGCTTCCAAGGCAAGTTCTGGCTCGATTCGATCCAAGACCTCTTGCTCTTTCTGTTGGCTCTCCTCCCCCCTAGTGCTTAGAAGGCATCCCTTTTCTTCCGGCCAGTTTTGTTCACTGTCCGTAAGTCGTGCTCCGGCTTGAGTGGATTTTGGGTGGTCCCCCTGCAGCCCCCCTGACTGGTTGGGGCTCCTTCATCTGTGGAGAGAGCTAGATCCCTCCACTAGCATATCAATGGCTTTGCAGGCCACTGTGGGAAATGCCCAGTTTCAGGCACTGAAGCGGAGCGGCGCTTTGGGGGTGTGGCGCAGGGGCCCTTTGGTGCCTCCTGCGTTTCTAGCCTGCTTCCTCTGCTGTGCAGCCCCTTGGCACCACAGGTGCCCTCCTCTCCCCCTCTCCCATTCCGTCCCCTCACGGCGCCTCTTGGTTTAACGATCAGGGCCCTGAAAGGCTGAGCACTCACAGCGATGCAGGCGGCAAGCGTGCGTGCTCACAGCAGTCGTCTGCCAGCGCTGAAGCCCTTGCCGAAGTTGCAGTGCGACTGCCTGATTATGCCAGACATTAAACCTGGCGGTTAAGCATCTGTGGCACTAAAGGGAATATTTCCAGAAGAGTTTCTTTTTCTCCACTCTCAGCCTTGTACTTGCGACAGCGCCGGCTTGGCTGCAGCAGAGACTGTCCTCCTCCTGTGCAGGGGAAGGGGCCGCACCCCCTGCCGCCTTCCGCGCAAGGCCGATCGGGGTGAGGCGCGGCTCTGGCTCCAGTCTCGGTGGGCCCTCGCAGGGATCGTGCCCGTCACGGCGTCTCCTCCTCCTCCTCCTCGATCCCCACCCCCCATAGTCTGCAGGTTGTGGTGGGGGGAGCAACCCCAGGAGGCTTTGGCGGGGGGTCCTTGCTGGGCTGCACACCCACCATGCACCCCTTGGCGCTGACCCTGTGACAGGCTGCTGTGCCGTTTGCTTGTGAGCAGCACCTTGCCCTTGCGGGCTGGAAAGTGGGCAACACGTGTCCCTGGTGAGGTTCTGCCGTGGTGAGACCTGCATCCCGGGTATTAGTAAACGGAGCTCACTTTCCCAGCACGCATCCTGTCTCCTGAAGAAGGCCCGGAGCGACGCGGTTAATGCTTCGGGAGGTGGATGAGGGAAACCGTCCTAGCTCTCGGGAGTTGCCGGCTCGCTCCTAAGGGTCAGCGATGCCTCTGGTGGGAGTCAGGCACGAAGCTGGAGGGGATGGGACACATCGCCAGCACATCGGGGAAGGACCAGGTGGAGTGAAGGCCGTCCTGCTGCATAACGCTGGGGCCCGGGGGGGGGGGGCCTCTGTGCTGTCCTCCCGGCAGCAGTCACCCTGTCACGCCTGCCCCTCGCCCCCAGGCCCACGTCTTCGATCTGAGTGTCAACAAATACGAGTCCATCTGTAACCAGCCGGTGGTGGCCAAGAAGAAGAACAAGATCACCCACGTCCAGTTCAACGCCATCTACCCCATCATCATCATCGGGGATGACCGGGGCCACGTGACCTGCCTGAAGCTGTCCCCCAACCTCCGCAAGATGCCCAAGGTAAGCTGTCCCGGGGCCGGGCCACACCAGCGCCGAGGGCAGAATCCTGAATGGCACGGCTGAGGCGGGCAGGCCGCAGCCTGTGGCCCCGCGCTGCACGGTGAGCTGTGGGCGCTGGCCTGCCGAGCGCCTCGAGGCAGCCGTATCGTCGGTCCTCCGCACACCAGCGGGAACCCGCTGAGCCGCAGCTGCTCCCCTTCTCTAGGGCATGGCTGGCTCCTCCATGGCAAGGCATGTGGGGCGTCCGAAAACCTCTTTGGGCTCCGCCCGGCTCTCCATAGGCATTTCTGATTCTTTTTAATGGTTTTAGATCAAGGACAATCACGTGTGTTCTCTTCTGTCAGAAAAAGTGTGATTTTTTAAAAAACGTAACGTGTGCCACCTTTGCGAGTGATGAGGGGACGGGTTCTTGTGCCGCCCGCCAGTCCGTTACTTATTTATTTATGCAGTTTCTGTTGTTGCGAAAGGTGGGATGAGGAGGAGGCAGAAGAGACGCCAGGCCCAGAGTCTCGGTGGTCAGACCTGTGCGGCGGCCCCTCGGGGTGCCAGAGGGCTTGTTGCGCTCCTAGGCAGCGGGGCCCGGAGTCCACGGTCAGAGCTATTCCTTTGAAGTGGACAGTGAGGGGCCATGTGTGGCCGCACGTGCGGGGATTCCGTGGCTCCCCGTGGCCGTTCCTGAAGCTGCTTTGATTATTTGGGCCACTAGCTGTTTAGAGGCATCCTTGTTGGCTGCTTTCCTAGGAAAAAGGGTATCACCCTTGCGCTCCAGGGAAACGGCGCAAACCGCTGGGCTCCACCGGGTCTCCCTGCTCTGGTTTGCTGCTGTGCTGGGCTGCCTCGCACCGATGCAGCACTGCCTTCCCCATGTCAGCCGGCAGTGGCATGAGATTGGTGGCTTGACGCCACCCTTAGCACACTGGTGAAATGTCTGCGATGCCCGCCTCCTGGCCAAGACCCTCCTGTCACGCTTATTCAGGTGAAGGTCCCTTCAGGACAGGACCCCTCAGAGCTTTTGCCCAGCGCTGGGTAGGCTGCTACTGGGGGCTTGTTCAAGCAGGTGAAGGTGAGAGCGATCACAGGCAGGTTGGACTCAGACCCTGAGTCAGACTGGAGGTAAGCGTGGCAACAGCTGAGCCGGAGGCCCTGGAGCGGCCGGACGCTGGCGCCAGCACAGGCAGGGCTCCCAATCTGCAGTAGGAGACCACTGGCCAGGAATGCTGGGACTTGTAGTCCAAAATGTCTGGGAGGGAGCCAGGTTGGGGAAAACTGTCTTTGGGTCTTGCCTCACAGAGTCCCAGAATGCCACAGCACTGCTGACCCAAGACCCACACACCCGGCACCCGGCAGACGGTGCAGCTATGCTCAGGGCTTCCTCTGCCTGAACCTGCTACTTCCTCACAAAATTCTCTGCCCTTCTCGTCAATCCACCTAAAACGATCTGGTGACTCATAATCATGCAGACACAATCAAGCAAATCAGAAAAAAGAGAGCAGCACGAGCCACGCAGGTCACCGTACTGGATGGTGGGACCCGGACGTGGCCACAGCCAGGTATAGCTGACTGGGATGGCTAAAAGAGCCACTCTGATGATTGCATGGTCAGTTTAGCGGGGCATTAGCAACGAATTGCTCCTTAAATAGTTCCTGTTTTCCATGGGGGATGTGCTTTAATTACTTAGTTTGTCTCATGATTCTTTTCCTTTAAATTGTGAAATAGTGCAATTAATTAAGGAAAACTGGTAATTAAACTCCCACATGGGGACAAAGAACTGACTAATTAGGAACAAAATACTGTGCTCCACTGAGTCTGCAAAGAGGAAGCTTCTAGTTAAAGGCACAAAAGTCCTGAAATACTTCAGCTTTTCTTTGTCACCACTGAGAGACGATCACTGCACTGCACAATGCTGTTTGAGAGGGAGGAAACGCACTACAAATCAGGTTGGACAAAGATTGTGGTCCAGAAAGCTCCGGAATGGCGTGCAATGGCCACAGTGTTTGTTTAGTCCTTTACTTTGTTTTTCGTCTCAGAATCTCAAGCGCCTTTTGTGATCAATAATGCATCATAATGCAAATGCGGTTTCTCTGCTGCAAACAAAGCCCTTGATGTTTCTCTCTCGGCCGCTCCGCCTGCATTCACATCCCTTCCTCTTTCGAGGGGTGCCTTTGTGCGTTTCAGCAGGAGAGCAGTCCTCTTGTTTCCACCGCTGCCCAACCATCTCATTCTGCACAATGTTTGAGGGGTGTCTTATGCACACCCCAGCACAGTAAACAGACTGCCAAGGCTGCTGAATCGCCCCCACCCCTCCGCAGGCACCTCTCGTAGACACCCGTCGCATCAAGGCTTGTTGGCCAGGCCAGCCAGGCCAGCCTCCTCCTCTCGAAGTGGCCAGCCAGAGGCCTCGCGGAGGCAGGCAGGAAGGGGGAAGTGCCACAAAAGCATCCGGTGGACCTCAGGTGGCGGCAGAGAAGCCCGCAGGTGCTTGCCGGGAGGCTGCAGGGCCGGGGCCGCTCGCTTCACAAGAGCGTGAAGGGCGCCAGGCCATGGCCCCCCTGGCGATGGGGAAGGCACCCCACACGCACGCACGCACGCTCACTCCCTCCTCTCTGTCCAGGCTGGGCAGCCGCTCCTGCCCAAAGCAAGCTAGGGCCGCTCGGGCCTGGCCCCTCTGGCCTCCGCGACCGCTGCACATTCAGCGCGGCGTGGACAGAACTGCCTTGGCTCAGCAGCCTTTTCTGCTTGGCAAGCACCAGGTATTAATAGCACCAGTGCTTTTAATAGACACCCACTCGGATCTCTTGATTGCCTCCAGCACCGAGGGCACGCGCAGCCCCACGCATCGCTCGGACGGGTGGTTCGAGCTCTTCGATCAGGCTCGGGGGGCGGCCTTGATTGAACAGCGAGGGAGAGGCGGCCAGGCACGCCCCCCTCAAGGGGCTGTCGTTCTTGGCCTTGCGGAGGGGCTTGTCTTCAGCCCCGCTCGCTTCCTGCAAAAGCGACAGCCGGGGGAAGTGGCAGCTGTGATGTGCCGGCCCGGGGCGGGCTGGATTCGCACATGGACCTCGTCTGAGCGATCCTCTTATGGAAGGGGTGAAATCCGTAGTGACGAAGACCCCCACCGCGTCTGCCAGGGGTGCTCCCTGGCAGCCACCGCATGTAACTAGGCCCGCGTGCGCTCAGGAACGAATGCGCTTGCCACCCGCCGCGTTGTGCCACGTTGCCCCCCTGTGGTACGTGGGGGGTCCTTCCATGTCCACCCCATGGATTGCAGAGGCGTAGTAAGTTGGCCCAGGATGGAGCCCTCATGTGGCCCAAGGCCACCCAGCGACCTCGTGGCAAGTTGTGGATCGTCCTGCCAAACCCCTTCCGGCACCGCCCCACACGCGTCCGTGCTGGCTGGCTGGCTGGCTGGCTGGCTGGCGGCGGGGGCTCCTCTTCAGCCTCATCCCTTCCCTTTCGCCGCGGAGCTTCGAGCTGCCAGCTGAGGAAGGCGGCCGATTTGCTGGCAATGAGAAAGCGGTTAAAGCGCAGCGGGGAAAGGTGAAGTCCTGGCAGGTTTCAGATCCTGAGGACATGCATGACTCAAAGTGAGGATAAAAGACGACCTGAGTTTCCATGGCGTCTGCACATGATATTTCACAGGCTACGTCTCTGATAGCATCCCTGTGACTTGAATGCACTTGAAGGGGGAGGACCGCGACCAGGCGCACCACGTGCCTCTCAGCTCATGGCCTGACCTGCGCTCCAGGCCTCTGAGGGACAACCTCATGGCCCCAGCCGCTCCCCTGGCCTCCTCCGGTTCTTGGCACTGTAGCAGCCTTTCCTGAAAAAGAGGATGCCTTCAAATCGAGGAGCACCCTCTCTAAAGTGGGACACATGGCCACCCTGGGGGGTCACGGCATGTGGGGGCAGGTCAGCAGCTGGCTCCGGCCCAAACGCTGGCCTCACCGGCCTGCTCCTGGCACCCACCTCTCGGAGGCAAGTCCTTGCAGGTGGCGGGTTGTGCCTGCGGGAGGCCATCTTGTCTCACGCTGCGGGAAGACCCTGGAGCTCGCTGTTGAACTCCAGAGCGGGCAGCCCAGGCTTCTAGAAGCGCAACGGAAAGCCAGTCCAAGTCCCTCCCAGTGTTTCCCTGGTCCTTCGCTCCAGGACGAGTCACTGGATTCAGCACAAGGCAGGCGGCCCAATCTTGGCAAATAAACAACTTTATTAAAAGGATAAAATTGGGGGGGGGAGGGGGGGGTGTGTGTGAATATTCAGTCTAAAAATGGGGGGGGGGACTGGGTATAAGAGGGGAAGGGGAAGTTGGACAGCAGCAAAAATACCGTTTACAGCCAGCCAGAGAACCCCATCTCCCAGGGCCTTGTCGGCCCACTCGGACTAGAACTGGCAAGGCTGCCCCTCTCCGTGGCTGGGCAGCAAAGTGCTGCCTTCTGCGGGGCCAGACACACAGGGCTTCACCACGTTCCTCGACACAGTGCACGAGCCGCAGAACGGCACCTCGGAAGGAGGAGCAAGGACCCTCTTTCCTTACCAGCCTTTCTCCCCCAGCAGCCTGGTCTCCCAGTCCTGCGGGGGCCGGCTGCTTCCTCCAGGTGCTGGCTGTTCACCAGCCCTTGCGGTTCTCTCTGGCATCTTGAGGCCATGATTTGTGCTGTCTCCCCAAGTACCGGCACCTGGATTCGTAACTGTTTACTAAAGGAAATGAAATTGGGAGAGATGTAGACACTTCCACAGTGATCCACCTTTTACGCTGAGAGAGAGAGAGAGAGATGCTCCAGCTATCCCTTTCTAATCACTACCATTATGAAACCCCCTAAGAAGTTCCCCTGTGCAAGGATCATGGAAACGACAGGGAACGCAGGAGCATCTGGGGAGGCTGACCCACAGCTTCAGAGCCAGATGGGGTTGACCCGATTGTCTCTGCCGCCCCCAAGTATAAATTTGGGGCTGGAGTTCATTATGGTGTTAAGCCTTCCTTGCTCCCTGGGGCCTGAGGAGCC